CTATCTATATATCTATGCATATATGTATATACATGTGTGTGTGTGTGTGTGTGTGTGTGTATATATATATATATATATATATATATATATATATATATATATATATATATAATATATATATATATATATATATATATATATATATATATGTGTATATTTACGGCCGGTTTGTTAAATTTAGGGACGGCCCGACCCAGTGCTTATTTGAGGGTTAACTTCTTATTCTGATTTGTTAAACGATTTCAACGCAATTGTTTTGTGCCTGGCACGTGAAATATTATTGGAACTCGATCGAGAAACTCGAGCAGGCCTACCCATCCCTAAAGGCATTCCCTAATTTTAATATAAGTTTGAAATATCAAAAATACTCCGTGAGTTTTTCATATAGCAGCTAATTACAAACTTAAAATTAATAAGCGACTTTAAAATGAATCTGTTAATTTTTAAAAAATGGAATACATTGTTTTTTTTTTTTTTTTTTTTTTTTTTTTTTAGAAAAACTGCGATCAACCCTTCAGAGTGTTATCGGCCAAACGACAACACTGCTTGCCGCAGATCACGACATTTGAGCTTTAATTCGCCTTTTCTCGTAATACTGGTGTTGACACATGCTGTCTCCCCCTCTTTGTCTCCCTCCCCCCCTCTCTGTGTCTCCCTTCCCCCCTCTCTCTCTCACTCACTCACACCCTCTCCCATTCACCTCCCCCTCTCCCTCTGTGTGGTGTGTATTTATCTATCCATGTATCTTTCATTTTTATTTTTTTCTTGGGTACAGATGAGGATATAGCGCACTGAAGCTCCCGGTGACCTTCTCCCATGCCTCCTACTTCTTAGTAATACTAGCAGGATCATGCATTTTCCCCGGGATAGCTGATTTGTGCTCAGCTATTAGAGAAAGGATGCTCTCCCTCTGATCCTCCGATAGATGAATTTGTTTTTCCCGCTGAGCAGCCCTCACCGCGCGCTGTTTGTATCAACTGACGGGAGAGCAGGCGTACTAACTGTTCGAAAACGACGAACGTTTGGGGCCCAAAGTGAATGGCGCTTGCTTGGCCCATCCCAATTTACGCTCGTTTAACAAATTCATTTGAACTGTTCGGGCTAGCCGCAAACAAAATTATGAGTGTGTGGGGATATCCCGAATTGCGATGTTTAACAAACTGGCCGATATTCATATGTATGTTTTTATATGCGCATATATACATATCTATATGTATATATACATAATCCATATATATATATACACATCGTATATTCAAGACAAACACTCATAAACATACAGGTATATACACGCCACACCGCACACACACATACACATATTATAGCGGGTACGTGGTTAGGGCCCATTTTAGTTGCGGAGGCTGCATGTATTCGTAAGTCCGATAATTTACATGAGAGAAATGAGTGGACTCCTTGCAGTCTACGCGCGGGCCACCTGAGAGGCTAATTGGTCACGTGTGCTGACCACATGCACCCACCCCATCCTCCCATAGTATCATCCTTCAGGAAGAACACAGACCGCGATGACTGTAGGAGCTATTGAGTGTCATAAAGTGGGTCTGTGTTTTGGAGAAATGAGGAAATGGATCGGAGTGAATGAGGAAGATTCAGCCCTCTCATCGCCAAGTTCAAGGGGAAGGAAAACTGTCACAGGACAATCGGCGGTGGACACGTGCCCGAGGTGTTCATTACCAGAATATTGGTCTTGAGACCAGTTGGAGTCTGAAGCACCTCTGGTCACACCAGAAGAGGTAGGGAACAGCCCCAAACCGCTGAATCAGCGAGTGTTCACACTTTTCTGCAAGGCGATGACGGCATGCAAAAAGTACAGGTGGTGAAGGACATTTGTCAAAGGGCACATTGACCGGGACGTTGACCATATATATGTGCGTGTATATATAATATATGGTATATGTATATATATATATATATATATATATATATATATATATATATATATATATATATATATATATATATTATATATTATAATATATAATGTGTATATACACTATATAATGTGGGTGTATCTATATATATATGTATATATATATATATGTATATATAAGTAAGAATATCTTCCACTGCGATCATATAGAAGTGATGAGGATTTTTTTCTGCTAATTCTTAGCACGTGCACATATGACTTGTTCTTTGTAGATAGAAACGAGAACTTTAAATGAATCCTAAAATTAATATAAAAAAATATCTGAAAAGACATGCTTCCTGAATTCAAATATATGCTTATATGAAGGGAAATTAAAATATAGATTACGGAACATATTTATTTTCATGTTTCTTAAGGCGGGGAATTCGTTTAATCAGTTATCATCGTTTCTGCCGACATGAACGATGTGTCTCGCGTTTGCTAAACATGTTCAATTCATTTCCCCCCTAATTTGGCTTGAGATCAGGTGTTTGGTGACTAATGGTCGATGGTGTAGGCGCCCAAGAGACAAGCACAGCTGGCGGGAAGCTTGAAGGTCTCGATGGCGAAGGG